CTGTGGTAATTACACTCTTTTCATTCCTTATTGCTTGTATTTGAATTTTTTCTTCTTTTTGATGAGGTTAGCTAGAAGCTTATCAATTTTATTTAATCTTTCAGAGAACAAGCTTTTTGATTCATTAATTCTTTGAACTGTTTTCTTCATCGCAATTGAATTAATTTCTGCTCTAATCTTTCATCTTTTCCTGTCTTTGGGCTTTGGGTTTGCTTTACTCTTCCTTTTCTAGATGTTGGAGGTGCAGCATTAGAGTGTTTATTTGATCCCATTGTTTTCCTAATGTGTGAGTTCACAGCTATGAATTTCTCTCTGAGAACTGCTTTCATCACACCCCAGAAATTCCTGTAAGTTGTCTTTGAGTTTTCAATGAATTGTAGATATTATTGAATTTCTTGTTAAATTTCATCTGTGACCCATTGGTTGCTGACTGTTAACTTCCATGTATTTGGGTAGGTTTTCTGGGGGGGTTTTTTGTCATTTATTTCCAGTTTCATTGCACTGTGGTCAGATAATATGCATGGGATAATTTCTGTTTTCTTGCATATAGTTAAGCATGACCTATGGACCAGTATGTGGTCTATTTTGGAAAAAGACCCATGTGCAGCTGAAAAAAAATGTGTATTTAGCTGTTTTTGGGTGGAACACTCTATATATCCACCAAGTCCATTTGTTTCAAGCCCTGGTTCAGTTCTGCTGCTTCTTTGCTAATTTTTTGTCTGGTTGACCTATCTTTTTGGGATAAGAGGGTGTTAAGGTCTCCTGTTAAGACTGTGGTATTGTATATTAGATTTTTCATGTCAAGGTTTCTCTTATATAGTTGGGTGGGTGCTCCCGTGTTTGATGCATACATATTTATGAGTGTTACCTCTTCCTCTTAAATTTTTCCCCTAACCAGTATATAGTGGCCTTCTTTATTTCGTTTGATCATTCTTGGTTTGAATTTAAGACTGTCTGAGAACAGGATAGCTACCCCTGCTTTTTTCTGAGGTGCTAGGTTGTGTAGTATTGTTATCCATCCTTTGACTTTCAGCTATGAATTTATGAGCTAAGTATGTTTGTTGTATATAGCATATTGTTGGAATTTGTTTCCTAATCCACTGTGCCAGTCTTTTTAGTGAACTGAGTCCATTTACATTGATGGTTATAACTGAGATGCACAGACTTATGATTGACATGTTGTTTACCTGATGTTGTTTATTCCTTTTTCTCCTATGTTTTTTTGCTTGCCATATTTAGTGGGTTCCTTTTGTTCTCATTTGTGGAGTTCTGATCATTTTG